TTGCCCCATTATCTCTTCTCTCAGTTCTTACTTCTTTTTTGGACTCTCCTATCACAGTATTTATATTGCATTTAATTTCCTGGAGAGTATGAAGTAGTCGTTGCTTAAATTTTCTGCTGTTTCCTGGAATAAGTCTTGTTACAACATCTACTCTTCACTTGCCTTTTTCCCGGTTATACTCCATTCCTTTTATCTTATATTTTTCAGAAATTTTGCATAACTTTTTTTTTCCACCTACTCGCACTTGAAAGAAATCATGTCTGTTTCTTTCTGCTACTTGCCAGGAATATTGTGAATGCAAAATCTTTGGCACTTTTTCTTTACCCTCTTGTTGAAACTTAGCTTTGCATTGAGGGCTTGCTATTGAATTTTTGTTGTTGTTGTTATATAGTTTAGGTTGGTCAGAAGATCATTCTATTGCCCCACTATCGCTTATGATCTTTTAAGTGGATTTCAGAGAGAGAGAGAGGAGTTTTGGAAGTTTGAATGTTTTGTACATTTAAAATCTATTTTATAAAGTGAACAGTAACTCTTTTTTTGCTGTTCTGTAATTTTAATTATGCTATCTTTAAAGTTAAAACTACTTTGTACGTGGAATTGCTTCCTTTTTCATATTCAGTTAGCAGTGGGCAAAAATCTGTAATATATTTGAAGAGATACCTCCCCCCACACATAAGGTCATTGATTTCTTCAAGTTATTTCTATTCTATGATTTACTGAAAATATGTAGCCTTGACTATACTAATCTTATAAATTTTCTCCTCAAGGAGTAGTTTAATGTTATAAATATGCTATTGTCTTGCAGTCCTCACAAATCTTTAATATTACAAAGACCAATCAAGTAGTCTGGAAACATCAGAAACCATCCTTTCTAAGCATAGGTAAAAAAATGTCACCCAAATGAAGGAAAAGATTCTCTGGTTCATCAATTTTCAGTGCTTCTCACAGTATTTCTCTTTTTTCTTATATTGAGAACTCTGACTCATATATACTAGTGAGATATATCTATATCTGTACATATATTATGTATATGTGTATACACCATATACACATATATATTTACATAGTATGTGAATATATATCCATATACTTATATCTATATATAGATATGGTATATCGAAATAGTCACTCACTAGTATATAGGAGTGGAAATAATATAAGAAAAAAAAGAAATGATATATATCAGTATATGTATATATACTATATAAACATAGTATATATGTGTATATACACTATGCATGTTATGTATTACATACTATATGTATATTATATATATTTACATAGTATATATACACATGTTATGTATATATCAAGTGTTAAGTAGACATTTGATATTTGGGGTTCATTTTTATGAATCCCCAAATCTGTGCCTATGGAAATCTTACACTTCTGGTTTTCCCCCCAAATCATGTTTTGTTGAAAGTCACTTGTTTCCTAACTATAAAACCTTACACCCCAAATCAGAAATCTCTTCTACTTTGAGGAAGATTTTCAATGGCTTTAACATTTTTTACATACCGAAACTTTTTTTAAAGTTATTTTATGAAAGTAAGGGAATTCATGATGATGGATAAAGAATACCAAAGGCCAGATGAGAGGTACATTCTGGGTGAACTGGGAGAGTAGAGTAGGTTCCACACTCATCATCATCTTGGGAGCAGCTTCTGTACATCAACCCGAGTTTATGTTTTTATTCCTGGTCTCAGGTGCATCTCAAATTACTACATGACACAGATCATTGGGGTTACCAGTCAAACGTGCAAACGTTAAGTTACCAAATGCACAGTTTTCCAGGAGTGGTTCTGTGGCTAATAATACTTAAGGAATCATGTTTTTGTCAGGTTCCTTTATCTCTCAAGCTTGAGCAAAATAATTGATATCTTTCCAACCCAAGTCTTAAATTACAAAGCTTGCGGTAAAGTTCCCTACTGTCAAATTTTAACACGGGGCTCGGAATTCCCATTGCAAATTTACACTTGGTTTTCCAATTAAAATGGGCTTTTGTGACTCCCCTGCCTATAGCCATTGGCTTGATAAAAAGTATCTTCATTTGCAGCCAGTGTGTTCAGGGAACTCAGTGCAGGGCTGACTTCTTCAGTTGTTGCCTTGAGCCCAGCTGTGCTGAAATATTAAAGTTTAGTAAATTAGGTGAAATTGCGGCTTCCTGGCTGATACAATAATGCTTTTTTCTTTTTCTGCAAATCATCTTCAGTGTGAGTTGTCTGCACAGTTCTTCTACACTAAGAGAAATAAAATTCAGAATCTCTTCCAAATCCTGACAACTCTTCCATTTTTGAGATAATTGTGCCAATCCTATTTATTTAACAGAGGGCTTAAACTTTCAAATAGGTAGAATTGGATTACTATATTATTTTAGCACTATCTGAATATAGCATTATGTTATTATATCATACTTAGATGAAGCAACTGGATTGCTAAAAATGTAAGTCTTATGTAAAAGTAGCAGCTTTTTATTTTTTGATTAGAACTTATTTTAACAGCAATGGTGAGCTATAGAAGGAAAGAATATTTTCAGTCACATTTATTTTTAGTTTTTTGCTCCTTTTTCTCTCTAAGAATAGCACTAGTTCTGAAGTGTTTTTATTCATTGACCAAACATTTATTGATCAATTACTATGTGCAAAGTTCTGGTTTGTTTTCAACCAAATATTTTTGGAATAAATGCAGAATTAGCAGAAAGGGACTAGGCATCCTTATATTTCTTTCCATGATATATGTTATTTTTCTTGTGACAAAACCACTGGTGACAGCTTTATTTAGCTGCCTGGCCTACTTGTTCCCCAAAGGCTCTCACTTTGGCCTCTTTTAGGTTAAGAACTTATGCTTCCAGGAGACTTCAGTTGAAATATAAATATTTTTATTACTTGGGAAAGTTAACTCATTAAAAGCTTTTCAAAGTATCTTTATCAAGGTACTCCCAAGATAGTAAAGTCCAAGGGTTGCTTTTGGAAAAATCTCAAATCTATACAAAAATAGGGTGGATAGTCTAATAAGCCTTCATACAAGCACTATGGGGTTAAAACCTAGGAAGGTCGCTCAGTGGGGGCTTGGGTAGTCGGTGGGCCATGTGTGGACAGGATAGCTTAGGGCTGAAAGGGTTGAGACCCACTTGTAAATTAGAGAGCCAGACTCTATCACATTGTCACTGGTTCACTGTCCTATAATAAATGAGATACTAACCAATAAATGAGATACTAACCAGTATGACCTAGACCTGGGTCTGTGCCTTAGTTACAGCTGCTGTAACAAAAATACCTTAGACTGGGTGGCTGAAACAACAGAAATTTATTTCTCACGGTTCTGAATGGTAAGAAGTCCAAGATCAGGGTGCCAGCATGGTCAGGTCTTGGTGAGGGCTTCCCTCCTGGTTGACAGATAGCTGCCCCCTTGCTGTGTCTTCACACTGCAGAGAGCAGAGAGAGAGGAAACAAACTCCCTCCTGCCTTTTCTCATAAGGGCACTAATTTCATCACGAGGCCTCCACCCTGGTGACTTAATCACCTCCCCAAGGCCCCACCTCCAAATACCACCACGTCACATTGAGGATTAGGGTTTCAACCTACAAACCTTCTTGTGTGAGGGAGACACAATAGTCGTGCATAGCAGTGTTAAAAGGAAAATATTACATAAATTAAATTTAGCAGAGTTTATTTGAGCAGAGGATTCATGAACCAGGCAGCACTCATCACCAGAGGAGGTTCAGAGAGCTCCACCCAGCAGCATGAATAGGAGGCTTTTATAGGTGGTATACAGAGCACGGACACATCACCTGATTGTCTGTAGCTGGGCAGCTGGCTTGTTTGGGCACCGAGTGAGGAGGTATTTGCTTTATGTGGGCACAGCGTAATGGGTTTGCCACCTGTGATTGGCTTGAACTCAACTGTTTGTTATAGTCTAAGTTAGGTTTTGGTTTGTTAGGTAAGAATTTCAAAGTACAGAGTCACCCTCAGTCTAATGACTTCTTATTTAACAGCAGTGTGCAAACTGTTTCTGGAAAGTACCAGAAGGTAAATATTTTAGGCTTTGTGGGCTACACCATATCTGTCACCACTACTCAATTCTGCCCCTGTAGTGCAAAAGCAGCCACAGATCATGCAGGCATATGTAGTTATCGATAACAGCAAGTCCTGGGCATGGAGGTGTTCCAACAGAACTATTTACACAAAACAGGCAGGGGTGGAATTAGCCCGCGGGGGATATTAATAATTTGCTCACCCCTAAAGGTCCCTGGTATCAATTCGCTGTCCCTCTGATTCAAGGTTTAAGTTTTCTGTTCAGTGTCACGATCCACCCAACAGCTCCCAAGTCCCGAGCAGCCTTTCTGTGGGGGAGGCTCCAGCAGAGGGACTCCACAGTTTTGAAAGTTTTTGAAGTGGGCCCTTTCTCCTGTCCCCTTCCGCCCCTCCAAGCGCTCGCGCTCTGTGGACCGAGGTGCGGTGTGACTGACTGGCGGGGGGGCCGTGTGGGCTTCCCAGGAGACACGCGGCCGCTCAGGACGAGGTGAGGGCGCAGAAAAGTTGGAGCCCAATCAGCACGGAGTTGAGCTCCCGCGCCCCAACCTTCAGGTGACCCCGCGCGGCGGCGGCGGTGGCAGCGGCGGCGGCGGCGGCGACCAGAGCCCGCAGCAGCTCCGAGCGCCTCCGGGAGGCCAGGTGGCGAGCCGGGCGAATCGTCATCTGCCAGCCGAGCGCCGGGCTCCGAGCTCCGCCGGCCGGGGCTGGGTGGGAGCGGCGGGCGAGCCGGGACGCGGCTGCTTCCTCTCCCCGCCGAGACCGCGCGGGCTGCGCTGACTCGGGGAGCCCCGGCTGTGCGGGCCCGCGCCGCGCGCTGTCGTCGCCCCTCGCCGCCGCCCGGGAACCCTGGGGGTGTGCGGGGCTGCGGCCGCGGTGGCAGCGGCGGCGGCGGCGGCGGCCAGTCGTGGCCGCCCGGGCTGCGCTTCGCCCTGGCAGCAGCGGCGGCGGCCGCGCCTGGGGCTCAGGATGCGGCCGGGGGGCGCGCTGCTCGCCCTGCTCGCCAGCCTGCTGCTGCTGCTGCTGCTGCGCCTGCTCTGGTGCCCGAACTACGCGCCCGCCGCCTCCAGGTAACCCCCGGACCCCCGGCGCCCGCAACTCCCGCGCCCCGCCGTGTGCCCCGCCGTGCGCCCCGCCGTGCGACCCGGGGACCCCAGCCGCCGGTCGCCTCGACTTGGGCGCGCGGACTTTCGGCCACTGAGGGACGAGCCAACGGGGGGTGGCGGCGGCCAGAAGGTGGGGTGGAGGCGGGGGCTGCAGAGAGGCGACACCTGAAGCAGCCCGCAGCCGCTGAGGTGAAGAGGGGCTGGTCAGGGTGACAAGGGCTCCAGTGCACGTCGCTGTGGGCGACGGAGCTGCGGAGCGGGACCTGCCGTCGGGTTCCCCAGCAGAATCCCGGGCTCTCCATTCCGTTCCTCGGTTTGTCTTCCTTCCCGCCCTGAGGCTCTTCCAATCCGGGCTTTGGGACCTGGCCCCGGGCCCGGGAGCGCGAGGATGCTCCACTACGCCCGGCTTGGAGCGCGACGCCCCGCCTGCCAGCCAGCGGCCCCCCGCGCGGTGTAGCAACTTAAGTTTTCTCCCTGGCTGTGCAGGCTCTCGGTGGAGGAAAGCAGGGAGGCCACCCACGGCACCCCCGCGGCGCTGAGGACCCTCCGGAGCCCCGCGACCCCGGCACCGCCCACCACGAACAGGTACGGCGGCGCCCAGCGGCGGGAGGACGGGCGGGGGCTTGGGGACCGCGGGCTGCACCAATTGGACTCGCTTCCAGTGGTCTGCCTGGGACGACACGGTTGACACGATTGAGTGAGCGCGAGTTTGAGTGTGAGTGTGTGTGTGTGTGTGTGTGTGTGTGTGTGTGAGAGAGAGAGAGAGAAAGAGAGAGGGTGGGGGACCCCTTCGCACTCTATCAGCTTTTTCAAGCCTGTTCCTGGATGAGCTTGTTCTTCGAACCGAGAGAGATATAACAGCTGCACTTCAAAAGTGGGTGCTGAGTTCTCCTCTCGATAATAGTGTGTTGAAAACCCCCGAGAGAAGCAGCTCAGCCTGTCTTTATTGAGGGATTTGGTTGGTTTGCTTTTTGTTTTCTACGCTTTAAAGTGCACCAGTGTTAGGATTCAGGTTTGGAGGACTGAATTCTTCCTGTGCTGTGTATGTTTTTGTGCTTAGTGAACGGAGACTTAACATTTTTTTTTATCATTCATATGAATATTTATCCATGTGCAATAATTATTTGGTTTTTATAATTCTTTTCTGATTATAAAAGTAATACAGCTTTGTGTAGAAAGTTAGACAATAGGAGAAATATATAAAAGAAAATAATATTCATTCAGGGTTCTACCACCCAGAGACCATATTCAGGTTGGTTTTGGTCTATATTTTTGCAGTAGTATTTCCTATATACATATATTTTAAAAATATAGTTAACAATATATTTTGTAGTTTGCCTTTTTCCCTAAAAAAATCATAGACCTGTACCTGTCATTAAATTTTTTTTTCCAAAACATTGCTTTTGATTGTTGCATAATTTGATTCATCAATTCACCTCTTTCTGTTTTTAGACCTTTAGCGTTGGCTTGTTTCCACTTTGTTTTGTTTGTTATCAGTAATTCTAGTAAATCCATCCTTGGATATAAATCTTTGTCTTCATTTCAAATTAATTACCCAGAACGGACTGAAGGAAGTTGGATCATAAAGTCAAAGAGTATGTACATACTAGGTTCTAAGTCATATCACCAATTGCTTCCTTGAAGGGTTGAATCAATTTATGTGTTCAGCGGCAGAATGTTATTGTTGCAATCTTGTACACTGCCTCTTTTCCTCTTTTTTTTTTTTTTTTTTTTTGAGACAGAGTCTCACTGTGTTGCCCGGGCTAGAGTGCCGTGGCGTCCTAGCTCACAGCAACCTCAAACTCCTGGGCTCAAGCAATCCTTCTGTCTCAGCCTCCCGAGTAGCTGGGACTACAGGCATGCGCCACCATGCCCGGCTAATTTTTTCTATATATTTTTAGTTGTCCAATTAATTTCTTTCTATTTTTTAGTAGAGACGGGGTCTCCCTCTTGCTCAGGCTGGTTTCGAACTCCTGAGCTCAAACAATCCGCCCGCCTCGGCCTCCCAGAGTGCCAGGATTACAGGCGTGAGCCACCGCGCCCGGCCTCTTTTCCTCTTTTTATCTCTTGTGAATCCCTTTTTCTCTGTGTACCCTTCTGTATATTCCTGACTCTTGGATTACATGACTCAAGGATCTCTTTTATGTGGCTCCAGCATGGCTCCAAGAAGGGTCTGGAAGTGCCTGCCACATTTCCCTCATTGGAATTTCACAGCATATTAGAGGCACTAAGAAATCCTAGAGTAACAAAAGCTTTTGAGAAAAATATTGGACTATAATTTTCTTTTTTTTCTCGGGTTTGGGAGATGGGCTGGGGAGCATCCCATCTTTTCTCAAGCCCTGTGACTATTGTACATTTCTAGGATTGCCCCATGGGAAAGTTTGAAAGAATGTACTCATTAAATGATTTGATCCCTGGTCGTTTTGGAGGCAATCCTTTGATGAATTTTTCAGTTCCTTTTGTCATACTTCTTTTCTACTTGGTATACTTCTTGAGCTAATATAGGTAATTCATTTTTTTCTAAATGTGGCCCATTTTATTGCAATTTAAAAATTTATACTGTTCTCCTGTGTTTGTAAAAGCCTTTGTCTTTTTGTATATTTTGTGTTCCCTTTGTCATTTATGATTTTGATTTTTTTTGGAACAGAGGTGCGAATTTTAATCCCCAATCTATTTGGTTATGTAAAACAATTGCAATTTCTTAATTTTTCTGTAGTTGCTCTGATCTTCCTCCATGAGCCCACACTCTAGGTAATGATGGTCTTAGGGATAAGGAGAGCTAACACTTAAAGAACTCTTCCTATGGACTGATCTCAGCACTTTACATTTAACTCGGTTAATCCTTAAAAAAAATACTAAGAGAAACTATTATCCTGAGTGTATAGATGAAGAAATGGAGGCACAAAGCAATTAAGTAAATGGCCCAAAGTCACAGAGTTAACAAATTGTAGAGCCAGAATTCAAACCTAAGCTATGCGGATTCAGAATCCCACATTCTCAAGTTCCCTGCTGTGTAGCCTGTCACAGGTGCTGGGAAAGATGGTGTGTGTGTGTGTGTGTGTGTGTGTGTGTGTGTGTGTGTATGATCAAAATGTTTGATCCACATGAAAACTTAGATGTGACAATTTAAGCAACTCTTTCTGGTGATATTTATTCTCTCTGGGAACAAATGCCTGGATTCTCAGATTGCTTCTACCACCTCTTCTCACTAAGATGACATCCAGGTATATGAGGGAGAGGGCCTTAGATAATGTGCTGGTAGAGTTCAGAGATGGGGTTCATGGCCTATCCCTTAACTCCTCTAATCTTCAGAGTGATGTTGTCCCTTTTACATCTGGTGGCCAAGCACCCTGTTGATGGCCAACTATGAGATCTGCAGCTTGTGATTCATTGCACCTGCTTGTGCTCCCTGGCTGTCTTGGCCTTATGTGAGATCCCACTGATGGGATCCCACTCAGGGATCTGAATAAGATTCTCCTTTGGTCTTGTCTTGGGTTGTCACTCTGCAACATTTGCTATGACACCGTCTCACTCAGCTCCAGCTTGCTAGCTCATGGCCAGTCCCTTAGCTATTTCACGGCCTCCCCTAAATATACAAGAACCAAGGTTGGTACAGGAAACTTAAATATCAGGGTGTCACTCTACTTGCCCCTTCTCTAAGTTATTTCAGGATGGGGGACTGCCCAAGAGCTGATCAATTTCCAGAATCCTAACTGAAGGAAGCAAAGCCCCCTCTGTCCTTGTTATTACCCCTATTACTACTTTTTATTGCTCCCCCTTTTCTCTCTCCAAGCCAAAACTGTACTCTTCCTGTCTCTCTCTTCTCCCCCTACTTATTCAATTCCAGAAATGTTCAGGCTTTTCTCTGCCGCATATTTTCTTTGCCATAATGCAAACCTTCAGGTAAATTGTGAGACCAGAAGAGAAGGACTGCGAAAACTCAAGGGTCTGTGTCTTCCTCCAGATAAGGTGGTTAATGTGCTTAAGTGGGAGAATGAGACAATTTGGAAAATCTTCTCTTGAGGCTGCAGCAAATTCCATTTTGCTTGTCTAAAGTCTACCTTATTCTTTTTCTTTGCATTCTTCCAGTGAAAAGTCTTAAGCTCTCCCTCCTCTCCCCAAATATGTTTCAAATTGGCTAGGGAAGGTCATGTTCTTAGAAAGACAAAAAAGAAAAATATACTAATAGTTTTTAAAATGCAATCTCATTACAGTGGATTCTTTTTCTTTCTAATAAGCTTTATCAAAATCTTTTATTGCTTTTCTTCTCTTTCAAATGACCAGTTCTTGGATTTATTTCTCAATTCAGATACATTTCCATGTTCTATTTTCTTTGTGTTACTTTTACCTTTTAAAGTATTCTCTTTTTTTCCCCAGATTAATATCTTGAAGTGAAGGCTTGATTTATTTATGTAGTTTTTCCTTTATTTAAAATAATAGAAATATTTTATACTATGAATTTTCCTTTGAATGCAGCTTTGGACTCATTTCTTAGCTTTGGATACATAATGTTTAGATTTTAAAAAATATGTTCTAAATTGTTCATAGTTACATTGAAAACTTTTTTATCTCCATAGTTATTTAGGAGAGTGCCTTTCAATTTCCAAGTGGTTGGAATTTTTTTCTTAAATAATATTAATTTCACTTTTGATTATGAAAGAAATCCAATAGAACCATGCCATAATGTCATAAGTGAGTTCTCAAATATCTGATCATCATTAGAAATGAAGGGTTGGATTATTGTGAGGTTAACGAAATGCCCCACACAAACCTATGTAACTAGCTGATTTGGAGTTCCAGAGACCCCTATGGGAACTATCTAGGTTTGGTAACTTTTAGTAGCAGTTGTCCATGCTGGCTTAAACATCCATGGCGAAGATTCCAGATACTGTGGCTGGATGAGACTTCCTGAGAACAGAAGCTATTGTTTGAATGTTTGGTTAGTTGGTGTCTATTCCATTGCCCTATCTGAGGCCATTGGATTCTGAGTTTACCAGAGGTGTGGGGACCTCACCTCCACTTCTCCATTTTCTTAGAGAGGTTTGCCTGCTATTTCTCTTAATGGCCTTCCCTTCCCCTTCCTTTCTCCCTGCAGAAGGATTTTGCCTTGTACCTCTTTGAAAACTGGAGTTAGGCAGAGTGCAGACATCAACTGTGCTATGTCCCAACTCACATTATTTTAGAGAGAGTCATGGCAGAGGTTTTATCATATGTTTTTAGGTGAACACAAAGAAAAGGGAAATCGACTGTCATTTCAACACCCAAAAGATTCATATTGTACCACTATTCATATTTTGTTACCTTTTCAATATCTTATATATGCATATATCTAGTAATCTTGCTGTGTATATTTTGACATGGGTTGGTAACTTTATTTTTAACTATACCTGAACTTTCCTCCATGCCATTAGTATTCTTCTGCAACACAATTTTTAGAGCACAGTATTGGAATGTATGGATGTATTCTAATTTATTTATGCTTTCCATTTTTATACTTGACTTTAGAGCCTTGTACACATTTCGGATTATTCAGATAAATTCCTAGAAGTGGAGGGATTGTGTCAAAGAGTATGTGAAATTTTAAA